AATGTCCATTTGGTTGATGTCAAAAAGAGGGGACACTTGTGAGTTGATGCTAAGGGTCAACTTGATGTTTACTCAAATTTCCAAGTAGTCACTTATTAACCAGTGAGTAAGCCAAAACATTTTACGGGTCTACACACAAATCCTTAAATCGCACCTGCTTAGCTTTTCATCATTCGGGTCTTCTGAGTGTCCCTTTTAGGAGGAGGGTAAGATGTTTCTATTGACTTGTTTCTTTTGGATTTTTTTTGTCAATTTCAGACACATTTGTTATTTTCGGAGTAGCCTAACAGACACTTAATTCAAATTGTCCTGATTTTTACTCACTAAGCTCATTAAAGCTGTTTTGTTTTTTCCTTCATTTTCAAAAAGAAACAAGTTTTTCTGTAATTCATTGTCACTGTTCATTGCCATGCAGTAAGGCTGGTAAACACTGCTGCTCTTCTTTCCTTCTCTTCTTCCAACAGGTTCAGACATGAGAGGACATCATGTCTTCCTGAGCTCACCTCTAAGACTCTGATGATGTCTCTCGGACACTCTGGATCTTTGTTTTTCTATTAAACACACATGTCAGATACAGCTTCCACAGTGGACAGACGGTACACACTTTACAACAAAGGAAGGCTTATACAAACACTTCAAATCAGAGTCCACCAACAAGCTGAGACAGTGACATACAAACACACACATTTTCCGGGATGATGATGTGCTCTCGTTTGCGTCCCTCACTCCCTCGCCTCTTGTCGCTGAGGGTGATGGGTACTATGGCTTCCAGGACAGTGGCGGTCAAGCAGCCCGACATTCTCTCAGCGACTCTGGCCTTTGAGGATCCCAGTGCCTTCAGGGTGAAGAGTTTGGGTGAGCTGCTCCGGGCTCTGAGCATCTTCCGCTTCTGCTCCTTCCCTGTGCTGGTTAACAACTGTGGGAAGGTAAGACTTGAGTTTACCATTCATGATCATTATTTGCATGAAAATGGGATGAGTAAGACAAGTGAATGGAAGAAAGACTCAGTGAGGCATGGACAGAGAGATCTTATTCTTCTCTATGTATGGCAAGGTATAAGGTAATAAGGTATAATGGTATAAGGCAAGACTGTATCAATCACCGTTCTCCTCTCTGTCACTCTTCTGTCTTCATTCACCTTCTTCTCCTCTTCTTTCAGCTGATGACAATAGCGCGCAACCTCCTTGGGAAAAGGGGGTTTTCCTTGCTGCTGCGACCCACTGTGTATGCCCAGTTTGTGGCTGGTGAGAATGAAAGTGAGATCTCTCAGTCCATGGGGAAGATGAGCTTGCTGGGACTGAGGCCCATGCTGGCGGTACCCATCGAGGAGGATCTGGGAGAAAGCACTGGGTATGACTTATACTAAATTTTTAATGACTCTGTGTGCTCAGTCTCTGACGGGATCAGCTCTAAAGTCGAGGAATACATTTTAAGTTTAATATTCGTTTAAATTATTTCTGATCTTGACTTTTACTTGTAATTTATGCACCCCCCTGACCAGATTAACTCTGGATGAGATGTGCAAAACACATTATAATACAAAAGAGACAAACCCAAAAACATTAAAGCATAAAAATATTGGCAGAAATTTAATATAATATACATGTTTTCATTAGTGTAATTTCTGTTCCTTAGAATGAACTGTTTTTATCTACAGAGTCCACCATGTTGAACAGCCTGAGCTTCTACGGTAGCTCAGAACAGACAAACCAAACACTGACTGTAGATTGGGCCTTTTGCATTTTTTCACAAGTTTCTTGGCCACCACAGTTTCTTCTCTGAGTTAAGTTAAGGGGTTTTAGCTGGTTGCAATCTGCAATCTTATTGCTAGAGGCCACTAAATCCTACACACTGGTCCTTTAAAATGTTCCAGGACACAACATAACAGGTGAATGCAAATAACATTTCACAACACAAATATCTATTTCAGATTTAAGATTTTACAAAACAGAAAATGCAAAAAACAAACAAAAAAAAACACAAAAACAAACAAACAAACAAACAACAAAATTATTTCACAAATTAAACTGGACATTGTGATTGGAAGCTGATGGTTTTGCTCAAAGATAATTAAAGGACTGAGAAAATAGTGGAAGCGCACTGACTTTTCTTTAGTGTTGTTCATGTAAAATAATCATATATTGCCTAATAAATGTGGTAGAGAACATGTGAAAACCTGTTGATTGTGTTGGTTTGTGAATGTGATTCAGTTGTGTTCACTATGTGAACAATGGTCGTGTCTTGCTGCTTTTTTGCTGATATTAGAAATTATTAAAGGAATCAATTATAAACTAAGCATCTGATTAAGAAACGTCTTACTTAGGCCATAAACGGGAAAATCCCCTTACTGCTAATTTTAAGTAAATAAAGTTATGTAGGGTTTCTTTAATATCTTTTAAATCGGCGAAAACGCCGGGGTTAACCAAGCAATTTAACAGGCTTTTTTTTATGTTGCCTTTTGTCACCACCAGAGAGAAGAGATATGACGACAACATGGAGGCCATGTTGGAGTGTGTGCGAATGTCCCACAGCAACGCCTGGAGCAAAGACCCAATGATGCAGCTGAAGATCACAGCCCTGCTCAGCCCGGAGCTCTGTGTAAGACAACGTCTCACAGTCACCATTCATAATGTTTTCAGGAAATCACTCCCCATGCCATTTTTAACTAAATTTAGAGATAATAATGTAATATGCATATTATGTTGCCAATGGTATTTTTACTGCTGTAGAATGTAATTTCAACTACTGTATATACGTTGCGTAATTTTTAAAAATTTTTTCTAAGCAATGCATTCATATACTATAGATTTCATATATGGTTTGTAGCTTGCTGCCGTGAGAA